TTTTTTTTTTTTTTTTGGGGGGGGGGGTGGTTTCGGGGTTTTGTGTTGTGAGGCTTTTACGGTGAGTCAAGGGGGAGCCCTCAAAGTCACAGTGCGGAGCTCATGTGGATGATCCAGAGGTCAGGAACTCTTAGGCCGAGCCCCGCACCGAACTCCGTAAGATGGAAACTGTTTAGGGTTTAGGTTTCAGGGTTTAGGGTTTAGGGCTTAGGGTTTAGGGTTTAGGGTTTAGGGTTTAGGGTTTAGGGTTCAGGGTTTAGGGTTTAGGGCTTAGGGTATCCCTAAGCCCGAAACCCTAAAACCTAAACCCTCATCCCCCATAGCAGTACCTGGGACCGCTCGATCCTGCATGGAGTTTCGGGCTCCGTGACGTCAGGGCTCGGAAGCCTAGTGCACTTAGGGTCTAGGGTCAAGGGTGGTTGTACTATAGGGGCCTTTATAATTACCTATACATTTTTTGTTTTTCTTTTGGGGTGGGGGGGGGGGGTCCTTATTATATTTATAGTTTAATATACCCCAAAACCCCAAGGCCCCTACATTGGAGCTTCAGCGGCTTTCTTTTTTGAAGGCTCGGGGCCTTCGGGTCTAGGGTTTGAGGTCTTAAAATCGGGGTTATGTAGGCTTCCAGCTTCGCTAAGTGCATGTTTTCCGTACGTGGGTTTGTACGGCCAGATGATCGCAGGATGTGCATGTTTTCCGTAATTACGTAGGGCTGTAGGGCCAGATGATCGCAAGATGCATTCATGATTCAAGCCAGTACATTGTGCATCTGCTAACTCTTCATTGGCCACCGGAGGCCCACAACTAACATCCTCAGCTCCAAACCTTTTCTCAAGAGCGGGACAACGCGGTGAAGCGCTTCTACGACGTAGGCTCTCAAGTCTCTTCCGTGTAGCGCTAGACATGCTGCGGATTCGGACAGTGTCGGGAGAAGTCCTCATTGAGATTGACTTGGTGAGCTTTCTTGAGACGCTTCCTGCAGAGATGAGTCCTGTCCGGGCACTGAAGCAACACCTGCACAGAACGTGCGGGCTGTCAAGGTTCAGGCAAATGCTGGTGTTTCTAGATGATGGTGTGGTTCCAGATGACGAACGCGCCTTGAGGCCTGGCGAAGTTCAGGTCGTGATTCTAAGCTTCTGCCCGCATCTGAAGCGCAAGTGAAAGAGCTTCGGCATGCTGCAAGAAACGGCCGAACATCGAAAGTGGAGTTTATTCTACACAGGCCGCAAGACCCAGACTTAGGCGATCCGGCCCCACTGTTCGAGGCGTCCAGGCGCGGACAATTGGAGGTTGCTCGTCTTTTGCTGGAGGCCAATGCGGACAAGGACAAGGCCACTCGTGGTGGCAACACCCCTTTGCACGTTGCAGCGGCGAATGGGCTTTTGAAGATTGCACGCATTTTGTTGGAGGCCAATGCGGACAAGGACAAGTCCATGCATGATGGCACCACCCCTCTGTCCATTGCAACTCAGCAGGGGCAGTTTGAGGTGGCACGCTTTTTGCTGGAGGCCAATGCGGACAAAGACAAGGCCGCAGAGAACGGTGCCACCCCTCTGTGCATTGCAGCTCAAAGCGGGCAGCAGGAGGTTGCACGCCTTTTGCTGGAGGCCAAAGCGGACAAGGACAAAACCATGGAGAACAGCGCCACCCCTCTGTTCATTGCAGCTCAGAGTGGTCAGTTGGAGGTTGTACGCCTTTTGTTGGAGGCCAATGCGGACAAGGACAAGTGTATGCGTGATGGCACCACCCCTTTGTTCGTTGCAGCTCAGCAGGGGCAGTTGGAGGTTGTACGCCTTCTGTCTAAAACTGGAAGCTGATACTCACGAAGAGGCGAGGCCTTCGGTACTTTTGCCAGACTTCAGGTCATTGCAGCTGAAGGCGGGACGGTCCCAACGTTAAAAGAAGATCTTGAAGTGGGGGAGGCAGAGACCCCACTCTAGCCTCTAGACGCTAGACCCTCAAAAGTAGGATCTTTATTTTCAGGATCCCCCCAAAATAGACCCCAATTTATGAGCCTTGGCAGTAGGGGTTTCAATATGATAAGGATCCCCCTGTATTCGTAAGTGACCGTTGATGTGAAGCACCCCCTGAGCAACGCCTGTTGGAAGACGGACGGGCTTTGGTCGTAGGGCCTAGCCCTTGCGTGCTGGGGTTTAGTGCTCAGGGGCTTAAGGGTCTAAGGGTTTTTAGGGTTCGGGTTTTAGGGTTTGCCGCAAAACCGTTTGCGGTTCGGTCAGGAGCGTAGGGTTTAGGTTGAAACATGTTTAATCCCTAAACCCTAAACCCTGTTTAATATCTAGCTTGTCTAGCTTCTGTGAGGCACGCAACACAAAGTCGAAATCATGAGGTCCATAACTCTGGACCCCAGTGCTAGAGATCCTGAAGCCCTGCTGTCGGAGCCCTTCTTTTAGGGTTCAGGGTTTGGGGTTTAGGGTAAACCTTAGAAGGGATTCGAGTTGTTTTGCCCATGAACCGTCAGGCGGAGTATAAAAGCCGGATCAGTCCTTAGGGTTCATTGTGACAGGTATACTAGAATACTAGAACATACACCACATGCCAACCGTAACCTGAAACCAAACACCCTACACCCTATTCTTCTTACCCAGAGAACCCATTACCCCTTAATTACGGAATATACCCTAAACTACAGGGGCCTTAATATTTTTATTTAAGGTAAAATCCTTAATGAAGGGGTGTTGGGTTCTCTGGGTATTAAGACCCTTTATTAGGTAGCCCCTGGTCGGACGGCTCTAGGAGGGGTGTCGCAATAATTGATCTCTTGCCCCTCATTATCGTCCCTGCGCACTACGACAAAGTTGAGGGTTTAGGGGGTTTGGGTTTTGGGGGCTTAGGGTTTGGGGTATACCCCCAGGCCCGTGTACCCAGGGTACAGGGCTCGGGTCAGGGATGGTCCGGTTTCGGGTTAGAGGGTTTAGGGTCACAGGACGGTTTAGGGTTTAGGGTTTAGGGTTACGGTCTAGGGTTTAGGGTAGTTTAGGGTCACAGGATCAGCGTTTAGGTTTAGTAGGTCCTGGGGTTTACGCCCAATGTCTGTCCTCTTGAACTCTCGTGCGCCGGATTTCTCTGGTAGCAGTCACCTCCTTTGGAGCCTTAACTCCCCCTAAAGCCTAGACCCAAACACTCTCAGTAACGTGCTGGAGCTGAGCTGGAAGAGAAGGAGTTCCAAACGAAACCCTCAACCTAGGCCAGTATCCGGAAACCCCATTCTGTTCTTCAAAGGAACCCTCCGTGCTAAGCCCGAAGCCTTAAATCCAAAAGCCTTAAACCCTGAAGGTACTAAACCCTAAGCCAAAACCCTCTGTTCTCCCTGAACCCTCAACCCAAAACCCCAAA